GTTTAGGGTTTCGGGGTTCGGATTTACAATGCCCTCCAATGTAATGCCTTTTTCGATCAATCCATCTCCTGGCCAGGATGCTTTACCAAGGAAGCGAGGTGGACAACAAGAAGAGGCACAGAGTGGCTGTGATGCTTGCAATAAACATTTACCATACCTGAGTTTCGCGGCTAAGCGTGAGAGATAGGGCCGGCAGGGAGACAAAGACAAACGACTGACTACGTGGCCGAATTTTTTTGCATATCTACAAAAGAGCCAATAATCTTGAATCTAGGAGTATACCGACCATGCCGTAAAACAGGCTAAAGAAGCCCTACATGCTCGAATGTTTCTCCATGAAAAGGAGAAATATGAAAAAGCAGTAAAGTCTTCATTTTATATAGGAGCATTCTCTGACACAACCTGACGCGCCTGTGCGATGCGCGCTCCGAAGTNNCGCCACCACAGCCGAAGATTAGCCTCGAGTTTCGTTGGCTCAGAAGGTGGTGTTTAGGGTTTGGGGTTATTCGGCTATCAGGGCTTCGGGTGATCAGGGACTATAAGGAAGCACTACGAAGAGTTATTCCAAGCGCTGTACTAAGCTGTGAATCTCATAAAATAGATCAAGTCAGGCAATACCGAGCTAAGCGAATGGCTCTCAAGGGGTTGCAGAAACTGGGCCAAGGTATCTGGAGGTTCCACCTTATCGAATCTATGCTGGGGTCCCTATCTTCTAAAAGCCACTATGGAAAGGGGCCCCTAAGTATGACGATAAGCAGAAAAGAGTAGCCCATGAACGAAGCTTTGGGGGTCGAGGGTTTAGGCTCAAGGGTTTGGGTTTAGGGGTTTTGGGGTTGTGGTTTAGGTGTTTAAGCTTAGGGCCTAGGGGTTTAGGGATTGAAGAACTCGAGCACCATATACTAAAACGCTGCAGAGCCGGACGCTACCTGACAGCAATAACAGGAGCACAGTACCAGGCAACATCAACACCAGCAGACTTCTGCAAGAATCATTAGCAGGGGTATTTTATCCAGTCCTACTCCTTGAAGCCTGCCTCTGTATTTGTGTTTTTTTGTGTTGAGCGGGGTTGCCCTTTCTTTTCTGGAACAGGCCTATCACACACCCTCGATGAAGCTATGCGAGCAACGGCTGCCAACAGTAGGAGAAGCAACAGCAGGTTTGGTGAGACAAGTAATGCTTGTCGTAGCTGCAGCAACACCCGCAACACAAATGGAAGTTGCCATTGTCATTTAGCTCTGATTTGAGACACAACTCTAGCATGATCATGATGCTGCGTTTCTGAACGACATCGTCGGCACCGTCATCATCATCATCATCAACAATGGGTTATAGAGACTGCAGCAATCAAGACCGTTAAACGCCAAGCCCCAAAGCCTAGACGTCCATGCAAACCCTATAGAACCACCAATTTTCAAACCCACCTCCGCCCTGAAACGCTCAAATTTCCAATACTTCGGTAGTTAATAAATCATTATAAACGCGAAATCCACAACTCTAATCCCCAAGCCCTATAAATCCTAATCCCTAAGCAGCCTAAGCCCTGATCCAACAGGCGCTAACCCTGAACTCTAAGCCACGGATCCACTTCATCGCCGGCAAATCCGATGCCATGGCTCGAACTCGACGCAAAGAGCAAAACGCCCCGGCTCGTGCCCAAACAGCTACGCAATCGGCACAGATGTCTTGGTTTTGTTTGGGGTCTTGGGGTCTCGGCACAGATTCAAGGGGTTTCGGGTCTTAGGGTTTCGGAACAAATTTAGATTCTAGATCGGGTCTGAGAGTCTTGCGGCTCCAGGGTCTGCGTTCTCGGAGACAGTGGGGGTTCCAGTTCCAGCTGGGCGGTGAGTTAAGACCTTTCCTTCTTGGTCTAGAGTTTAGGTAGAACCATGTAAACCTAAATCCTTCGCCCGGTGCCATACCAGATGCCCCAAACCGCACAAGCCGCAAATCCAGAAGCTAGAAAGTCGACATTGCCTGCATACATCCGACAATCAATGTCAAAACATGCACAGCCAAAGACACCGGGGCAGTGGTTCCACTTCTTGCAGTATGAACCGCAAGACCCTTGATGATATCTTCTTAACCCTAAACCCTAAACCGGCAAAGTTGAGAAGGCAACATAAAACACACCGCGATGGCCTGTCAAATAGTTCCGGAAGAAGGCCATGGACACCAGCACCTTATGAGCTTTCCGAGCAGTTCAGAGCTTCGGGTCCGGCTCAAGGCAACAAAAATGGGTTAAGGGCTTTAAGGGTTCAGGGTCATAAGGGTTTAGGGTTTAGGTGTTTTTAAGGGTTAAGGGTTATAAGGGTTTTACAAATTGAGAGATCAAGTTTTGTAAAGTTTCAAGGGCATTTAAGTAACCGTCATGCTTCAAGAAATTTGCAAAGTAAACAAGGCCAAACAAACAAACCGCTAGACCTTGCAGAGGGCACGAAATGCTCTACCGTGACCTGGGTGCTAAGTCAGGAAGCCCTAAATCCCTAAATTCTCAAGCCTTTAATTAAACCCTTGACCCGAAAGCCCTAAATCCCAAAGCCTTTCAAACCCTAAACCCCTAAACCCGAAACCCTAGGCCCGTAAACCCTAATCTCTATAAACCCCTCAGCCCTAAACCCGAAAGCCCTTTGAAACCCCAAACCCCTAAACCCTAAACCTTACTAAACTGCAAAGCCCCAATCAACATTGAGGGATAACCGGTCCAAACATACGGCGGGTCGGAGCTGGAAATGTTTCAGGTCGGCTACATATTTGACCCTCCTGTTAAAGATGTGTATCATTGTGGAGTCGCCTTTTCGTCTCTTCCCAAGATCTGCATAACAGATACGTCTGTCGCTTGCGCCGGCACAGTCGCTAAACCCTAACCCCTATAAACCCTAGCGCTTGCACGTTTGGTTTACGTTTTGCTACCTCGGCCTAAGGTGCTTCGCCCGAACTGTCGTCCGACGTGTCTCTGTGACGGTTTAGGGTTTAGGGTTTAGGGGGCTAAACCTTAAACCCCTAAGCCCCTTTAAACCCCTAAGCCTCTGCCCGTACCAAAAAGGGCCTAGGCCTCCTTGGGACGGTGAGGGCCTGACATCAGGCAGACGGAACGAAACCTATAGTCTCAGTTGTAGTTCCTTGTTTGGGGTTAACCAATTCTATATTAAGGATCCTAAAAGGTAACCCCAGAAAGGAACTACAATGGATACTACAGGAATTAAGCTTATTGGAGTTGTGGAACAAGCCCCACGGGTGTCTAGGATGGAGGGCTCAAGGGGAGAAGCAGTTGTGGCTTGGCTTAGGTGCAGGACCACCCAGAGACTCCAAAACCCCTTAATTAAGGAATATACCTCAAATTATAATGGGAACCTTATAATAAGATTAAGGTATTTTCCTTAATTAAGGGGTATTGGAGTCTCTGACCAACATTTGATGCGTCAATTGTGTCTGAAACTGGGGCGAACTTCACGTCATGGCGTGAATCAAACCCTAAACTCTAAACCCTAAACTCAAACTCCTAAGCAGAACCTGCTATGAAGCGAAGCTCAATTTTGTCGAACCAGGAGCCGTGGTATAGCATTCCGGGAGCCATAAGCAAAATTGGCACCCCAGAGTCTTTTCAAAAGAAGGGCTTGCGGCATAAAGCCAAAAACACAGTGCAAATGTGTCAGTCCGGAACCCTCCCGTACGCCTATGCGTCGGGGGACCGCTGCCACTAACCGTCCACCAACCTAAATCTAAGCTGCCGTTGCCAGCGTTTCCCTCGTATGAGGTCTTGGCCTTAGGCCCAACTGGCCTAAAGCTCCTGCTACCTTATAAATTCTGTTGCCCGGCACCCTCTAAAAAAAAGTTGTAAAGCCGATTCAACTCTTACAAATCCCATACGGCAACCCTCATGAAAGCCTGGCAGGAACCTGTTCAGAAAACCCGAAATCCCTCATAGGAAAGCCACGTTCTCCCTGGCTCGTGTCGTCTCATGCCCTGGAGTAGAGTGAGTAGAGTCGACGCCTCCAGCAGCTGGCCGATCCGTGACGAGCACGCGCATCTCTGCCGAGATGCGGTCAACGTCGGGTTCGTCGTTTAGCCACACTGCGCCTGGGCCAATCTTGAAGTTGTTGGATACCCGTTGAAAACTGAAGTGCGCATGTATTCCTCATTCTTTGAAATTCGCACTATAACTTTAATCAAAAATCAAACGCACTAAGCTAGCAGTTGAGTTCAAAAAAGAGCCGGGGCACCATGAGGAGTTCGATCTGAGTACCACAACAGAGCCTCTCCGAAGCTCATGTTCCTTAGCTGCCCAGTACCCTGGCCCAAAAAAGTGTAAACTATTCCTTTAGTAGGGGTTTACTATACCAAAAAAGCTTATAAAGTTTTCCTTTAGTAAGGGTTTAATATACCCCAAAAAGTGTTTATATAAACTCTTCCTTTATTAGGGGTTTAATATACCAAAAAAGTTGTTAAAGTTTACCTATTGGGCTCCTAAGGTTCGGTGCCATGCCCCACACGGCATCCGCAGAGTCTGCCACGCCCGAGCGCAGCACAGAAATCGTATCGTTGAAGTTCCTGGGTTGCTATTTTTTTGCTTTTTTGAAGGGGGGGCTTAGGGTTTTGGGTTTAGGGTTTATTTTTATTTCAAAAAGGTATGAGTACCATAATGGAAATTAACAAGTTGCCCAAAGTGCCACCTAGGTTCTTGATGTGGGTGTGCATTGTGGATACCATGCTTACATCATCGTTTGACGAGAAAGCATTCTGACCGTTCTCGCCATTTAGCAGAAAGACACAGGGATGTTGCTTGAGGACTCCTGGGGGTTTTCCGAAAATAAGGGACCCTAATATAGTACCCTAAATAGTAGGATCCTGATTATACGGACCACAAAATAAGGTACCCCTTATTATTTGGAGACTCCCTCCTGGAGTCAAAGAGACCCACAGGTTCACGACACCTGGATCTTGCGCATGCACAATCCTCACGTAGTCCTCAAAGCCGTAACCCCTTTCCATGAAGTCTTGCTGGGAGAACGGCCAGTGTGCATGGACAGTCGCCCTGATAGCTTCCTCCATCGTAGAGGTCTCCGTAAGACGGGCGATACCTCTCCACAGCTTGTCCACGTGAACCACATGGTGCGCATTACGCAAGGTCGAGCTCCCCGTGTGGCGCACGGTGGCTTCGCCGTAGACGGCTCCACCAGAGACGCGCGATGTGTCGGCGAGGTGAATGATTTCTCTGCTAAACCTTTGCTCGAGGAAACTGAGCATGGCTTTACCTGGACAAGGGGACACGCGACAAACACGTCTAAGCACTGAAAGTAATGTAGAAGCCTTTATAGCCAGCAAAGTGAGATTAAAGTGATGTGGAAGCCTTTATCATCACTAGATTAGTATGACGAGTTAAATATCATTCTGACCCCCATTGCCCGGCCTACCGCCATGCGGGTCTCATGGTCGGCCACCGAGGCGCTTCCTGGGCTAACGCCGTTTTCCTTTAGGAAATCGGCGATGTTCACAACCTCCACGCCGTGCTTCTGCAGTGTCGAGCTGGGCGGGATTGGAACAACGTTCAGCTGGACCTGTTTCAGGGTTGGTGTAGGGTTTCCGGCTTTAGGCATATCTAGGTCCTGAGTTCAGGTCGCGCAAGGATGGTTTTGTAAACAGTGAATCGACCACGTGCAATTGTCAAGAATCTCGACATGACTTGTCAACTCTTGCGGCGTCGGCTGTTAGCTGATCACATAATCTGAGACCCATCCCGTTATGACTTCGAGAATATTCCAACCCCAATCGAAGCCCAAATACCCTGAAGCCCTTAAGCCGTATGCCTTGCTTGCGGCCTAAACCCTAAACCCTAAACCTGCGCCAGAAGGTCCCACATCCATACCATCTCCCTCTCTGTGCAGCACGGCTTGCCGCTGATCTTCGGGCTTCAGTCACGGAATTGCTCAGGGGAATCGCAAAAACAATGTATTTAGGGTTTAGGGTTCAGGGCTTTAGGGTTTTAGGGTTTATGCGTTCAGTGTTTAGAAATAGAGTTGTAATTTGGTTCTTGCACTAAATAATAAGACTACGACTGTCCCAATGCGATGATATCCTTACCCTACTCAGCACCTACTCAAAAGGAAGTCGCCGATCACTGATCATGTAAGTATAGTTTCGGTTGTATCCTGCCTAAACCCTAACCCCTAATCCCTAAACCCTAAACCCTAAACCCTGCCTGCGTCAAGCTGTCCGGATTCACCGCAAAACCTTGCCGCTGGCCCTGGCTAATCGAGTCCCCAAGATCGCCAAAGGGAACATCTGCTTTCCTTACGTTTGGGGCTTAGGGATTCGGCTTTAGGGTTTAGGGTTTAGGGGTTTAGGGTTTAGGGTTTCGGGCCCCAAGATCGCCAAATGGAACATCTGCTTTCCTTATCGCAGGCTCTTTGGGGGTTGGGGGGGGGTTCAGGCCGTCACATATACTACTAGGTCTGACCGATGCTTATGACAATGACGTTTAGGGTTTAGGGTCTAGGGCGTAAGGGTTTAAACCTGAACAGCAACGAATGACTCTGCAACGAAAAAGAACTTGTTCCCAAGCCATGCCGAGTTCAAGAACTGGGCTGTTGCTGGAATTCCAGGCTGCTGGACTCCGCCGCGGGACCTAGCAAGCTCTTGCAAAGCATTTACGGCGAAACGTCGTATTAGCCATGTGCAATCGCACGTGACTATGTGAACTACCGCCAGGGAATCACTATTTCTATAATCGAAGTCTCGGTATCCTGGGTGGTTGGACGTACATGAGCTGAATAATTAATTCGTAGGACAGCGAAAGACAAGGTACAAGAAGTCTGGGGGTCTTTCTGTGGCCCAGATAATACAGGGACCTTAATAATTACCTATTCTACTTTGTTGGCCCTGTGTTCTAATTATTAAGGCCCCTTCATTACTGTGCAACTGTCCATGAAGCTCAAGAGGATGACAGATGCCAGAAGTTAAACTCCAAAGTGTCTCTGCTGAAGATTCATAGGTTCTCAAGTAGGGCTGTAAGTTAGAGCTATATTCTATATGGTGAACCTTACCTATATACTTATATTTTAACCAACAAGCCAAGTGACCCACATGGTGGGTTACTTAATGTTCCTCAAATCCGATACACATGCTGTAGTACCCATATCGCAGTAACCTGCCATATAGGCAATTGGATTTGTAGGGAAACTTTTCGGAAAAGATTCACTTGGGTAGTTCTCTAAATTAGGGTCCCTTTTTAGGTCCACCATATAGTACGGCGCCCTTACAAGAGGACCCAAAAGGGGACCCTAATTTGGAGAACTAGCCACTACCCTCAGGAAGCAGGCTGCTATCCTGGGGTAATCTTCAGCTGAGCTGCAGCTGGAACAGAGACGAACAGAGCAGCACCAAGACGACGGACATCTAGCCTCCGTCTCCGGCCCAAGGTTTAGGGTTTAGGGTTTATAGGGCTAGGGTCTAGGGTGTAGGGTTTAGGGTTTATGAGTCGGGATTAGGTTTAGGGCTGAAGGAGGGAAGGATGGCAGGAAGCAGGGTAAGACGGGAAGGAAGGAAGGAAGGAAGGAAGGAAGGAAGGAACACGGATCCCTTTTTATGTGTTTCCTGTTGATACGAGGAAACCAAAACCAACCAAAAAGAGACTCCTGACATTGACCAAGTTTCCGATGGCCGGAAAGTCGAAGCTTCACACGGGCTCGTCCGGAAGCTAATCATTGGCTCGGGCATCACTCGACGGATGAGAACTTCCGGAGGTAAGAGTACACTAGGGGGCTGGTCAGAAGGCCGTAAGCAAGCTCAAGGGTTCAGGGTTTAGGGTTAAGGAATGGTAAAGGTATTCGTTTTTTCAGCAGTGCTTACAAACACTGCTGCAACTATGATGGGCCATGCCAGCGACTATTACAACTCTGTGCAGCATCGTTGTAACAAAACAGCTTTAACCGCCAACGGCAGGAACCAGTTTAACAAATGAAGGACAACAATACTGACACCAACCCTGAACCCTAAATAAACCCTGGCCCTAAACCCTAAACTGACACCAATGGCGAGTTCAAATCTTCCCCTATAGGGGTCGCTACCTTTAGGGCATTCAGGGTTTAGTCTTTAGGGCATCGGGGCATGGTTGTGCTTGCAACAAAACCTGGCAGTTCGGCCAACCCGAAAACTTGAACCCAGATCAGAAACCCTAAACCCAAACCCTAAAATCCTAAAGTCCTAAAGCCCTAAACCCTCAAATACAACCGGACAACAGTAAGGCCGGAAATCCGACCAGTGAACTCCCAGAAGCCCGAGAAGAAGCTTGCAGCTACCTTAAACCGAAGAAGCTTGCAGCTACCTTAAACTCAAAGCCGGAATCATCTAAGCAAACATCTCCGCTCCTCCACCCCAACACTCCGCAAACATACAAAACACGTGGTCTCTAAAAAAATACGTGGTCTCTAAAAGACCAAGCCTGCTGCGCTGACGTGGCCTAGAACCTCCATCTACCCTCTACGAACTCTATACTACTATTGGACCCAAAATGCGTACTATTGGACCCTAAATGCGTTACAAGGAGGGTCCCGAAGGAGTTGCAGAAACCCTTGTGCAGGTCGACCAACACCCTACGACCGCAACAGCTGAAGTGGCGGCACTGGGAATGATACGGTTGATGAAGAAAAATCCTGCATTACCCAAAATAAGGAATATTCCATAATTCTCATAGTTTAGGGTTCTTAAGGTAATGCAGGATTTAGATCATCAACAGTAGTACAGGGGCCCTGTTTAGAACAGGACTCTGAGCATACTACATATAGGGGCTATAAGGGAAGACTACTACTATCTACTACCAGCACTGATTCTTCAGGCGCCTGTTTTTGTTCTAGGGCTTAGGGTTTAGGGTTAGGGTTTAGGGTTTAGGGTTTGTGGTGATGGTGGATTCTTCAGGCGCCTGTGTTTCTTCTAGGGCTTAGGGTTTAGGGTTAGGGTTTAGGGTTTAGGGTTTGTGGTGATGGTGGCAGTGCGCCACTTGTGCCCACCTCCCTGGATTACAAGTTTGTCAGTTGCGAAAAACTAGTAGAGAGGTCTTGAATCAGGCAAGACTGACGCGCAAAGAAGCGGTCACGAATTCCTTGTCCAGAAATGATACTCCATTGCTATCGTCGAGCAAAAACAAAACAACTAACCAACAAAAGGAAGCATCATACAGAACCGGAATGCAACCGTAGTAGGCTCCCTTGCATGAAGGCACAGAAATCGGGGCGCGCCGTGATGCTAACAACTCCACCTACTGTAACTCATTTTCACAAACAGAAGCGCTTGACTGCCGAGAGGCAGTAAACACCATGACTTGATGCATCCTTGCAGCAGCAAGGGTTTGTTCTTTCGGGCTTATGGCTGCAGGCTAAGATTATCGGGTCTTCGCCTGCTTCTGCGCTTCAGGTGCGTCAGGCAACCCAAAACCCACAAAGCCTACCTTGAACCCCAAATTTTATACCAGCCCCAAACTCCTGCATAGATCTGAGCTCAATTCCTGGATCCTATCCCCTTTTTTGAAAGGACATGGGGTCCGGTCTTCCTGTTAGTACACCAGGATACCAACCCTACACCCTAAACCCGAAACCCTAAACCGCACCCCGCTAGCTGAGTCATCTTGGGTTGTCGGTCTGGGCTTTGGGATCCACAGGCGTGGGTTCGGCTCTTCGGTTGTTCGTGAGGAAGCCCGCTCAACCAGTTTACCTATAGCCTCCATTGGAGTTCCTTTTTGGGGTTACCTTTTAGGATCCTTAATATAGAATTTGGTTAAACCAGACAAAGGAACTACAATGGAGACTATAGGTAGGGTTTTAGTGTACCACAGGAACCTACCAGCGAGACCTGGGATGACTGCCTTAATGTTCCCTAAACCCTAAGCCCTAAACCCTAAATCGTAAATCCTAAACCCTAAACCCTAAATCCTAAACCCTAAACCACAAACCCTAAACTTTAAACACTAAACCCTAAACCCTAAACACTAAACCCTGCACCCGAAACCCCAAACCCTAAGTCCTAGCCTAGCCCAAAAGTCCCTCAAGCCCTGAACCCTCGAGTCTCTCGAACTTCAGAGTTTAGGGTTCAGGATTTAGGGTTTTGGGTTCCGGGTTTAGGGTTTTGGGTTTAGGATTTAGGGTGCAGAATTTAGGGTTTAGGGTTCAGGATTTCGGGTTTAGGGTTTCGGGTTTAAGGTTCAGGGTTTAGGGTTTCGGGTTTAGGCTTTAGGGCCCCATCTTCATTCGGACTGACATGGAACCCTGGATGCACCCGGTTGTAAACAGTAGCCTGCAAGAGCCCCCCAGGTTCAGGGTGCTACTGTTGATGATATAAAATCTGCAGTACCTGAACGACCCTAAACTAGGGGAATTGTGGTATATTCCTTATTTTGAGTAATGCAGGATTTATATCATCAACCGTAATTTTTAGGATATCGCACACTCTGACCCCCAGTGCACCTCCGCACAAAGAATCTGCACCTGCTGACGTTGGAACTCACATATTACCTTCCATGCAAGGCTGAAACAGAAACTGGTGGCAGCAGCGGGGCGGCCTGAATACTACCTTAATTACTGAAGTTTTTTATAAGGAGACCCTCAACCCTAAACAAAGCCTTACCCCTAAACCCTAAACCCTGCAGTACCTGAGCCCTTGGGTCATGGGCTCTGGAGTTGAAGCATGCGAAGCGCGGGTTTTGGGTTTAGGGTTGCAATGTAGGGTTTAGGGTTTAGGGTTTGGGGGTTTCATTCCAAAAAATTAAGTACATGCTACAGTCCCAAACCTATAAAGCTTATAATCCTGACTCCTGCCTTTCCTTTGAAAAGCCCTCAACCTCAATCCTACAGCCTAAATCTTAACGGAACTGGGTGTGGGGAGCTGTGAAGCGTCATTCTGAGTAGATTAGCAGTGAAATACCCTGAAGCCCACTTGAAAGCAAGCACCCCAAGAATACGACAAGTAGCCAGTCAGTCAGGGTAAAATGCTCGGACTGCTTCCCCGGGCAGACGTGGACGATGCCTGCACGAAGAAAGAGCCACGGTTAAGGGTTCAGGGTTTACCTGTACTCTCCATTGTAGTTCCTTTTTTTGGTTTAACCAATTCTATATTAAGGATACTAACAGGTAACCCCAAAAAGGAACTACAATGGAGACTATAGGTAGGTTCTAAGGTTAAGGGGTTTCAGGGTTTGGGTTTGAGCAGTCTTGTGCCTGTGTGTAGGGGATTGGGACTTACAATCTAGTTGCATGGTTGTACAAAGGGTTAACGATACTGTGGGTCGAAGGTTCCAGGCTGCAGGATTGTGGATACCAGGGTGGGGGAGCAGCGCTCTACGGGCTCATGAGGGTAGTTAGTTCTCTAAATTAGGGTCTATTTTGGGGACCTAATAT